CATCATCGTTCCCTCTTACTATACTTTTGGGGCAGTATTTTAGAGAATGTAAAATCTATAACACGTGCTTGCGTCCATATTTAGTTTTAATGCAATGCGACTTGAAATAACAAATTATCGCATAAATCATTAATTTAAGGAAATTATATTAAATAATCGGATAAAATATAGCACATTTAATACAAAAAAACTGTTAGAATTCTGTTTTTAATCACAAAACTAGATTCGCATAGATCAAAATGGTTAACAGTTGTCGCAATTCTCCGATTTCCTATACCTCATAATAAGCGATTGTGTTCAGTCTAAAAGTTACTTTTCAAAACAAGAAGAAAATTGAGTTTAGTATCTTTTTGATGAGTTCACTTTAATTGTTTTCTCATATTATTTTGTTTACGTAATGATTAGTTTTTATTTCTTGAACAAGTTTTCTAGCCAAATTCTTCTATCGACAAGAGTAAGTACCATGATAATTATATTTAACAGTATCAATGATCATATGACACTTTCGTGCGGCCATACATGTAGCTTGATATCAATGGTTTGATAATATTGGATTTATGTGTATAAACACTTTATGAATTCTTATTACAGGTATAGTCTTTAATGTTTGTTTCAAAATGCGTTACAGAAGGTGTTTCTAAAATGTATAAAAACAAGAAAGAGAATTTGAATCAACTGTTGCATGGTTTCAAAAAATTGCACAAATATCGTCCATTTTACTTATCTGAAAAGAAAAGCACACAAACGTGTGTAATGTTTAAACAATAAATAAAAAAGAGGTCACCAATTTATCCATTTGTTGTGATGGTTTTCTTAACTAACCGTTTTCGTAAAAAAAAAGACATTTCAAGCCTTGAAACTTTTATTTTTCATATGTTTATATATTGAAAATTATCTATGCTCTCAAATTGGAGATATATATTACCTCATAACGACGTCCATTTCATTAAGTCTGTATACAAATTTATGCTAATTTTGGTGTCCATGCTTTTCATCTTCAGGATTAATATGGCCTTCCGACTATGAATATGATTCGTGCATATTTAATGATTCTTGCATTATAAATTAATTAATACCTGGCAATTTAATGACTTTCTAATTTCTTCCTTATGTTGGAAACACCCTATTTTCTGGCCAATGCGAATGCATTTATTAAACAAAAAATCTATGCCTTGTAATTTTGGGGACACCAGTAGAGCACGACGATTTAATTAAAAAAATGTATGTAACGAAGTATTTCTACCGTTTTCTTTAAATTTATTTTGCTATGTAATTGCGTGTTATAACCCTTAAAAATAATGACAATGTTTACAAAGATTTGGAGAAAAAGTGTGGCAACTTGACCACTTGGTGCACTTGCACTAAACTGTCGAATGTTCACTTTCAATAAGTTAACAAAGTCACAAAATATCACACAACAGTTAAAAAATCACAAAGAATTCAAGAATTCGACAAAGTTAAGTTCATTAAGTTCAAAGTAACTCAACTTTTCGACCATTTGTTTAGTAAAAGTTCCAAGTCGACTCCACAACTTGTGTATAATATGCAATTCCATAGATTTCCAATAATATAACATTAGGGAAATTGAATATACCTACGGCTGAAAACATTTTGAGAGACGAGTTTTCATCTTATATATTAAATGGTTGTCAGCTTAATTGCAAAACGGTTCATTGTCATTCAGTTCGTTATTTCCAATAAAAGGCATTTCCCAAGACAGACGACATCTTTAGACTCTTTATATAGGACATGGAAACGTAAAAATGTTATTTCACCTGATTATTTCTAGAATGAGTATTTCAATTGATCATTCTTTTTTTATTACAATATTTCCTTACTGGTTGAAGATTTTCTTCTTATAAAATCCGAAAGTTTCTCAGATTGACTAGACGTTCTGAAATTCCAGTAACGAGAAACAAAAGAATATTCATTGAAACAATAACAACAACGTATAAACGAAGTTTTCACATTATTTCTTGTAGTCATTCTAATGGAATAAGTGACAATCGTTAAATGAAGTAACACAATAGGATTATGAATTGTGAGTTCATTTTAACTTTCCTGTTATTCTTTTTATGTATTATTAAAGAATCTAATGCATCTTTTTACATTTTTATTCGGTCGTAAAAACGTTGACTGAAGCACATTTTGTTTCCACGCTTCATTTTACAAATGTGGGCACGATCAACGTTTTTTTAACTCTTTAGAATAATAAAAATAAGCATTTAATTCTTACAATTACATTTTTATGCTATAACCTTGAAATATTAGTTATATAAAACTGTTCGTTTGTTTTTTCTCTTTATTGTTGTTTAATATATGATAAGTTTTTCTTATGTTACATTGTTTCAAATCTATCACCTGTATGACCATTTCACAATTTATGTTCAGAAATTAAGAAGTTAGGTGAAAACTTTATTCTTTAGTGGGTAATTTCCCCTTGCGTTTTTTCACTACAATTCTATGTATCAATTGACTTTATTGTTGAAGATTATTACTGGCAAAAATATAACAAACAATAACATCAGAAAACATCATGCAGATAAACTACATTAATAATTATGTTTTTCTTTACTAAATAATGTAAAAATAAGGAGATGTGGTATGATTGACAACAAGACAACTATTCACAGTTCAAATGAAGTTGATGTAAACAATTATAGGCAACCGTACGGCCTTCAACAATGAGAAAAACCCAAACCGTATAGTCGGCTATAAAAGGCCCCGACATAAAAAATATGAAAACTAACGGCCTAAATTATAACAGAACAATTTACGAAAAAAAAAATAAATAAAAAAATGACAAGCTCGTTTTCAGACCACCAATTGAAAATCCCTTTCTGTTCAACCAAATTTTGTATTTTTCACAGATTTCTAAATATTTTACCTTAAGTTTAACTTCATAGAAACCAGGTATATCCTGAATTATACATGTATCACCTTTCTACATGGCAATTTTTAACCTACGTTTAAAGACTTATAAGAAAAATCTGACCTTGGGAACACAGATACTACCAACATAACTCCTGGTTTTCAGGAAATCTTAAATGAGTATACTATGGAGTGCATTAATCCTGAAATTTTATAGCAAACCCATAGACAGGTAAATTTTAGTTAAAAATGGTCTAAATATATTTCTCTTTCACCAAAAGTTTCATTTCTGCAAATTTGTTGGTTAGTTTAAGTAAACAAGGACATCAAAAGCACTATTTTGTGTCAGAGTAGGGCTACTTTTACATAATTGGTGGTCTGACACCTAAAGAGTAAAACAAAAGTTGATCAGAAATCTTTTGTTTTGCTTTATTCTTAATCCTTGGTCAATTTGTAGTAAAAAAATCCTATCTGAGCACGATGCGACTTATATTACAAAATTCACAGCTCAATTTAAACTGACTGTAATGTATGACTTTAATAGAAAATACTTGAAAATTTCATTTTGGACTACAGGAACATAAACTTTCAATATCAAGATCAGTTTTGGTTGATTTTTCCTTGTTTGTCCTACTGCTTTAAAGACTTTCCACAACTTTTACAATGAGTTTAGTAAAAATCCAAGGTATTGAAGAGTCAAGGAATATTGACCCCCTTTTTTTTCACCAGGTGTCAGTAATGGGACTATTAGTTGATCAAAAGTGCAGTTTTGGTCATTAAACTGTTTTTATTTACTATCAGTCAATAAAATTTAAGGTAGAAAACTTTCATTTGAGACAATAAATGGGATTGTGGTGAGTTTATGCAGTATTTACATTAGGCTATGTTATCTGCCAAATACATGGTATGACGCAATGATATAAGGGGTAAAAATCAAATAATTTCATTAAATCTTCATGACGACAATTTTTATTTTGGGAAGTAAACAACCTATGTTTTAATGTTTAATACCACAGAAACAACTTACTGTGCATTCATAACAATTTAGGAAATTTTCTTATATGAAAGCATATTGTCAGGGTGGGAAATGCTAAAAATAGCACAAATTTAGGTTTAAGGCTCTAAATTTGCAATATGTGACTTTTTGCAAAAAAAAAGATTGAAATGTGGCTACTCTCATTTCAAATGATCAGTTAAGACAAAAAGTTTGTTCTTACGGTGTTTTGTTACACTACTGTCCAAGGTTAGGGAAGTGTTGGCGCTTTCGAACCCCGCCACATTTTGCCTATCCCATGTCAGGAGCTTGTAATTCAGTGATTGTCATTTGTTGCTGTACATTATATTTGTTTTTCATTCATTATTGTGTACATGAATCAGGCCGTTAGTTTTTCTCGTTTAAATCATTTAACATATTTCATTTCGGGGCCTTTTGTAGCTGACTATGCCGTATGGGTTTTGCTCATATAGTTGTCAATTTCTATGTCATTGTGGACTCCTTTGGAGAGTTGTCTCATTGGCAATCACTCCACATCTTCTTATTTTTATATCAGTAGTGTTCTAACAAGTCGCTTGCGGTCAATTCAGTACTGTTTAGAAGCTGATTATACAATTCAGTATAATGCTACTGTGTACATGTAATTAAAAAACTAATGAAAAGAGTCTGAACTGATCTTTATTTACTGCAAGCGATTAATCTAAACAGTTCTGAATTCAAATCAGTGGATAAGTCTGAAAATTCACTGAAAGACTAAAAATGACCTATTGATTTATTGTTCAGTCTATTAAGATCTTTTCAGACCAAAAACAACGTTTCAGATCAAAATGGGGTTACTAGTGAAAAAAAAGCTTCGTACGCACGAAGTTTTACAAAGTGATATTTGCATCGTCGTCATAAATGTACCTATTGCGGATTTTTTCAGTGAAATACAAGACGAAAAAATAAACATATTTCATAGTTGCTTACAGTATAAAAAGTAAGATATTTCTTATTTTTTGGAAATTTTGTGTAAACGCTGCCATCATGCTGTGCTTAAAATTTTCTGATTCATTCACTGGTCTTCTTCGTCAGAAAAATAAAGCACGAGCTAGGTACATTATGAATGAAGAAATCTCACTTTTTAATGTTTCAGTCAAGTTAACGAATGGAATGTTCTTAACGCTTATTGGACCAGTTTGACAACTCCTATAAAAGGAGAAGAGGCAACAAAAGTAATGTATTATCTAATATTAAATGTGAACACACACACACAACAACACCCACACACCAACTAACACCTACCCTCACACACACAACCACCTACCCACCCATCCACCCACACACACACACCCACACCCACAAACACACACACATATACTTCGTATGAAACTCATCTGAACAATGTTACATCTGCAAATTAGTATTAGCAAATATTTGTTCTTATCTGATCCACAGAATTCGACTCCCTTGCTTATGTGACATCGTTGTAACACAGCCTGTACTGTGTGCAGCGCCCTAGACCACTCGGCCAACTAAGCTATATATAAATATATTCAATATTTCAATTTGATGTGACGGCATAGTAAGTAAAATCATTATCCCTTACTACATGAAAAACAGCCGATCTGATCGGTACACCATCTACTTGCCACTATACATCATGTACTGTGTTACAACCCCTAGATAAAGCCGACGAAGAAAGGCACTACTCAACTACCAAAAGCTACGATGCCACAATGTCAAAGAAGCAAGGGTTCATTCCGCTGAGGAAAGAACATGAAATTTGCTAAAGCAAATTTGCAGATCTAACATTGTAGAGCTAAATATGAGTCGAAGTATATATGAATTATGGTGTTATCCCTGTATAACGACGGGGTTATCCGATGGATAAATGATCACAAGTTAACTCTCGTTAAAGTATGACGTCACTTAACGTCAAGTGACGTCACTTAACGTCAAGTGACGACACTTGTCAGATAAACAAAAACAAATATGGCAGCGGCCAAGTTAGAAGCCCATCAAGTGACGGAGAAACAAGATCAAACAAAGCTTGGAAATTCATCAAGTGCCGACGTTATCATTTGTAAACGGCCCTTTTCAGGGCCATCTACATTTTACAGACAGAGTCTACGTTTGTTGTACATACGAGAAATGTAGAACACAAAATAGTTTCTAACGTAAGTCGAAAGTGTTTTGACAATCTGTAACAATATTTGTTCGGTATGATAAAACAGATATGGCCCATTGAGTCGGTGAATATCCAAAATTGTCAACCCGAGTAAGGGTAATTACCCTCGGGCTTAAACCCCTAGTGGAATAACCCTTACTCGGGTTGACAACCTTGAATATTCACATCCTCAGCAGGCTATAATTGTATATTAATAATATAACTCAAAGAAGTTGTAACCTAAACATCAATTAGACAGCAAACCGCACATAAAACATCAAATGACATCGTACTTAATTTACCAAAGTGGATGATTCTGAAAATTGACTAAAAGACAGAAAATGACTTATCAATTTATTGTTCACTGAATTCAGATCTGTTCAGATCAAAATGACCTTTTCAGATAAAACTCTGTTTACTAGTGCGTACGTTCCAGGATGTATATATATTTAAAACGGCATTTATTTAAGTTTATTTCAGAATATACATGTAAACGCACACTTATTTGTATGGTATTCTGTTTATGTTTATTCAATTATTATATTAAATTTCATGTTTTTAGATCGTTGTAGTTTTAACAAGAGATGAAGATACTAAGCAAACACACTTGTTTTAAAATATCCATGCTTATTATCATCACTGCCGTATTGCTGACATCAATTGTTAAAAAAATGTCCGCACCTTACGATGACGCTGTGCTTAAAAACCAAATGGAACATCTGTTACAGGTACGCATTAGTTATTTTGAAATTATAAACTGACATGATACACATATAATAGCAATCATGGCCTCTGCAGTTGAATCAGACATGATATTTATATTTATTGACCGGATTTGGTCTTTTCACATTTATTAGACCTTCAACGTCTGTATCAAAATTTAAATATACCAGCAAGCATTGAAGAGACTTTACAAATATTTTTATCAATTGCATGCGACGGAAGCATTTTCTTAGATTTTTCCTCATCAGGAACGCTAGTAGCCGAATATTTAAAATCCAAGGATGTATAACATGTATACGAACCGAAACAGTTGTAGAGCTATATAACCGAAAAACAAATCCATCTATGATCAACTTTGTCTGTGGGACTTGAAATCTTAGTTTATTATTAATTTATAAATTAAAAAACGAACAATTTTAGAAAGGTTTGTTATAAATCATTTCAGTACCAAAGTACTGACTACCTCAAACCGGTAGTTCACCAGCAGCGGTATCGACTCAATGCCGTGAAATTGAAGACAATATTTAATTATTTTCATGCACCCGTAATTAATTGTAGTAATGTGCACTTCTAGATTTTCCGGAGTTAAACCTAAGAATTATTAATAGAGGTTGTCAGAAATCAAACAACGTATGACAAAAATACCCACTTGCAATCTCATTCATTGCATCTCGTAAATAAATGCAAAGTGGAGTTCAACTACATAGTTTTGAATACATGACAATCCCCTTTTATCATTATGAATGAAAGAAAAATGACAAAGCTACGAATGAACAATACAATCAAACTGTAAAGCAACGATTTCCATTGATAAATAGAATCAGTTTCACAAAAACAACACTATACAACTAAATAATGTCGTTTCAAAGATTAACTGTCTTAAAAATAATGCTTTTACCATTATTATTCAAACGATAGACAATAAATGACGTAGCACATCAATTAGCAGAGGGCACCACTCGCACTCCATATCAAATGTGCTCTTTTAATTTTCAATGTCCCTGACACAACATATTATTTTCATTTCTTATATCAAACAGAAAAGATCTTCCGACACACGAACTTTATAATTTAAGCGTTCCTTTCATTTCTATATATGCATAAAGAATATAATAAGTATTATGTTAATATGATAATAATAAACAGGAAAGATAGTCCAATTATTATAGTTTATCTACGACAAACAAATCGTCAGATATTCCATAATTGAATGTTGAAACTATTTGATTTATAGTGTATCCTAATTTTTTTGTTTACTGCATTGTGAATAAGTTACAAAAAAAAATTCTCTGATCGTCTGGTAATCTTTCAGAGAGGAAAACCACATTCTGTCAAAGGAGATTTTAAAACAAAAGAAGATCTACACTGCATCAGAACAGTAAGTTTTATATGACAAATTGTATTTACTGTTGTGTCTTAACTCACAGTCACAGCAAATTGATAATACTACATGTACCGCTTAAGTACACCTAAGTGATCCAAATATTCTGTTTAGATTAAGTAACGAACAGTCGCTCCTTTTCACCCAAGGAAATGTTATATTTCCTAAAACATTCAATATAAATATTTTTAATTCGATAATTTCAAAGGCGGAAATTCTCTAAACTTTTAAGAGCACACAACTAAATGTCTCTTGGAGGGACATGTCATGCACAAAACTTGCTACCAATCTTTACTGTTTGTGCAATCCTTCAACTATCCATAAATGGTAGAGTTGTTATCCCCTACAGTCACATAATGTTCCGTCACCTTCATTTCTGATGATGGCAGTAGATAGCATGCACAAGATCGAATCGACCCGCTGTAGACTCAAATTACAACGCCTAAAATTATAAGGAACGACAAGTTAGACAGTTTGCCTATTTTTTTTATTTCCAGGCAGAACCAATAATAAACTGGAAGACCTTTTGAACTAGCAAACTTAAATACTGATTCGGAGTCTAAGGTGATTTATGTCGATCTTTGGTGTGACATCCACTTCAGTCTTCAGAAATGAAGAACTTTAAAGGTACTGAAATATTTTAACTGAAACAAGATTGTGTATTAATTTTAGAATTATTTTTACCGTTCCAGTGTTTTAAGGAAATAAAGAATTACAAGCATCTATCATAATTGAAAGCGAGTACTTTTGTTTTTAAATCAATTTATGCATTTTAACTGGACATCATATATATAAAGGCAACAATTTTTTACCGATGTTCAAATCTTACAAATCAAAGTAGACAAAATAAAGGAACAAACAAAAACTGAGTAAAATGCATAAACTCTAAAAGGAGCGAGACCGGTTGCGTTGACAGCGTAAGAGCCTCATTCTATACATGCATCATCACAATCAGTTAAAATGTCATTCTCAGAAATCGGACTCAATCAGTGCAATTATAAATAAAAAGACTATTCTGTGATCTAAAGATCTAAAACTGTCGTTAGTGAGTTAAGACACAGACATATCGTATCGGTCTACTAATTCGTGATAAAGACCATAAAACGTATGTTGTGAAAGTTTTAGTTATTTTCCCTATAACTATGTTGGGATTTTTTTTGTACGTAGCATACCCTTGCTGATGAAGACCTTATTATGTGAAAATTCACGAGCGTAACACATCTATTGAGATACCATAATTCCATACAATGGAACAGAGGTACATATTACTGCTGAGAGATGGAAAATTGAAATTTGGAAAATTGAAATCTACACGTTTTTAATAGATTCTAGTTTGAAGTCGTCCATCTGTGTAAATATTGAGGCAAATACAAGATATGAAGCAGACGTTCAAGTTTTGGTGTTATCTTTAATTTCTAGTTTACTGAAATATATAAGGTGCAATCAATCACTGAAATGTTGGTCCTTGATTGACAAGTCATCATCACTATATTTGAAAATGAAATTAAAGAGCTTTGCAAGATGTTTTCTTTTTATCTTTTTAGAAGGATTTCTACGAATTCTCCTTCATATGAGTACAAGTAAGAATATTGCAGAGGGTGACATCTTCGAATAACCGGCATATCTATCCCTTCAACATTTGAAAGTTCTGTGAACAATGATGTAAAATCAGTTGATATCAATATTTCACGATAAATGGATTTCTGTTCAATGAATCAATTTGATAATATCTTTACGTCCTTTTTATCATTTATATTAATTTGTGCACAGTCGTTGTTACATACGAATATGTCATGTTCTCATTCGTGGATTGCAGGTTGAGCAATTTAGGAATAGAGATGGAAATTTTATTGTTCCACCAGATAAAATTTTGGGAGTATTACCGATAAATGTGATTGAGTGTCTATATCACAGGTAACATTATTATACTGTGTCATACACACGCTATATTTCAAATGATATACAGTAAAATATGTTGAAAAGAAAAATTATAAACCACACATACGGACTTTTACAAAAAACATAATATTAGATAAACTGTATCACAGAAAAATGTGACCAGGTACACCAAGCCTGTCACGCACTGGCATACATCCATGTTCAGTGAATCGTGACATGGGTAAACATAATTTGGCATACAATTTTAAAAGTTCGCTTAACAAAAATCATGTGTTCTACGTTTCAAAGTAATTTCAACAAAAATTCATGATAAACTACCTTAACAAAAACTTTAATTACCTGATATGGGACATTCTAACGGACAGATAGATAAACAAGCCAGAATACGTAATGCCCAATTCTAACGTAATCGGGGCATTACAGTCAAAGTACAAAATAATAACACAGCTAAAAGTTTATTTGAGATTATTGATATTAATTTCACTTGCATTAATTGTTATTTTGTTTGTTTTGATCCAAGCACTACTATAGAATATTTTGCATCCTTGATTAGTTTTTACATACGATGGATTGATGTCACTGCTGATGGCAGTTTGATCTCCAAGTGTATCATAGTCCAATGCCAGTAGTCGGTACTTTGTAAATTGTCTATTTATCTAAATGTTAAATTATTCGAGAGTGGTACCTATGGTTTTACTTCTACCATTTATTATTTAACGGCATTTCAATCTTCCTATGTATTCAGAGGTGTAGAAATGTTTGTTATGAACACTTCTCCCTAGGCATGTCAAACTATAAATTTTACTTGCCCTGAATTTCCTGATAATTATTGAAGTATTTTACTTTTAGCTTGTATGATTCTTTAAACTGTCACAATATTAATGATGTTTCTGATATTTGTTGATGTGTATAAATAAAAGAATGTATGGGGTTAACATAAATGAGACAAAAACCCATCAGCAAAACAACCAAATGACATTTAGAGGGCAATTAATGTTTTACCATTTTACTGTATTCTTTCATCTGAAAAGCTTGGTGTTTTCCAAAAGGTTGATGGGCTAAAAAAGTGTCCCTTCTATCCATTTATTTGCAAACAAATAAATAAGTATGTCTTTTCATCAGTTGTGGGTGTTTCCTACAAATTGTGCAAAATTTATTATATTTTCAGAAGTTTCTTCACTGGAGAGCTAGGGTAAAATTGTAAGCCATGACGTCAGGAATTCTCGCTTCGTTTATTTTTCATTTTTCCTGTCTTTCTCCGCCGGCTTTTTCCGTTTTTGCATCCTTTTTGTCTTTATTACCCGGCCTAAGTGTTTTAATCAAGTATCTGTCCATCTTGATAGAACTCAATCATGAACAATTAAAATAACACTTCCGTTAGATGGCGGATAAAACCTAATCGACGATCCCGGGACAATAGACAAATATAACGCAATGTTTATGAGACCTGGGTTCGCATCCATATCATTTTTATCTTGGTCATCGATCTTTTTCTGTTTTTTGTATACTTAAATACTTGTTTTTCACGTGTTGATCATTGGTTTCTTTTAACACTACATCTTAATAAGTTGTGAAAACACGTCTATATTTTTGATTAAATTGAATTTTGTGAAGTGTGATTTTTTTACTTGTCCACGGGCATCAAAGACAAAAAAAAAAAAAGAACTTACCCGGTTGTTCAAATGTACGAGTCGGGCGAGTCGGGAATAGCATTTCCACACCCCTGCTGAGTGTATGTTCACTTGCGGATGCTTTAATATGTTCCTGTCATTACCAATTAATGTTTTTGGTCACAAATTACCACCTAAATTTTATTTTCTGAAATCTATAATTGGGACCTATTTGACGTTTAAAAAAGTATAGATAAATATCGTTTTAGTAGGTAAACATTTAAAAAGCCAACTGATAGTTCAAATTTGCAAGCACTAAAAATCACTGATTTGATAATATTTAGATGATACGTTATAACCTGATATATGTTCAATATTAAAGGATAGCCTTGATCTGAATAAACTGATTCGATAAGACCTTAAATTGTGAGAATAAAAATGAAATACATATGGCATATGGATGTTTAGTACATCCCATAAGTCAACATATAAAAAAGACTAAAAAAAAAAGGAAGTTAATAATTTTGTTACTCAGAATCAAATGAAATGTATCATCAGGAGTTGTAAGTTCCAAAGCCATGAACATGGAGAAAGTGGTTTAAAGTCAGCTTGGCTTGCCGACAAGTCCTTGCACTCACTCCTTAATGCCACTTATATTTGCTTACATGTAGGTCATTTTGACTCTGGTGCATTTTTCTAGCATTTGCAATCATACCACATCTCCTTACTTTTGTAGTTGAAAGTAAGGGTAGAAGAAACATAGGTGGACAACTGATAATTATTGATTAAAACAAAACCGACAAGGCGATTAGCATAAGAGAAATGGCATAAAAGCAAGAGCGACACTATAACAAGATTCAAAATGAAAAATGAGCATAAGCCAAAGCAGTCCCTTCCAAAAGCGGGAGATGAGACCAGAAACTCAGTGGGATAAACAGTTACTGTTCTGTCTGAAAATTTATCAACATTTTTTAAAAAGAAAACCAAAGATCTACAATAAACAATGTATTTTTAACGTGTTCCTGACTTTGAACAGGAAATTTTGAATAGTCAACTCCTTTTTTTATCAAACATAGCATTATCGATGTTTAAGATATTTCTGTACGATTGTTTTTACGGTGAGGCAATTGAATCCATATTGATATCAAACAAGAAGATCAATGACTGCATATACAAAAACTATAAATACACAAAAATTATCAATATATGCTAACGTGCTTTGTTTCTATAAATATTATAGAATAACCACAACGATACAAACATTTTGTGCAAAACATGGTCGACATGGTACTATGAATGATGGATGGAATATTTGTGAAGATGGATGTTACAAACCAAATAAAAATACAAATGTTTGGGTTATAAGGTATGACTAAATAAGTGTTGATTATGTTTTAATGAATTTTGAACAAACGGTTTTAATAAATATTTGTTTGTACCAACCACAGAAGTCTTAATTTGATCATCTGTCGCTTCTTGTCCTTTTTCTTTATTCACTCAGATGAATTCTGTTCATTGTATTAGGTTTTGCATTTTCACATGTTTTGCCTCGAGCAATATCAATGAGATATTTATTGTCAAAATGGGCATCTGGTGCAGTAAAATGTTTATCATTAACTTTAGCACTACCACCTAGTCGATACATCTACTATTGGATAGTCATCCCCGATTGTATCACTAGCCAAGTAGCCAGAACTTTGGTGTTGGCATGAAAATATAGATAATATTTTTGTTTTAAAAATAGTTTTTTTAATATTTCGGAAACCTTTTTAAACTTATGAATGTATCTCCCTCATGCAAAGCTTTCATTCATCCTTACTCTTCTGATATGAATAAAAAAAAATATGGTGACTAGGTACTTTAATGAACTGGAAGTATAGTACGCACATCGGACGTACCCTTTATGGTTGCAAATCTATAGGTCATGATCTACCCAACCAAAAACATACCATTGCTTGGTATTATTTTGAATGAAGAGACTCTTGAAAAAGTCAAAGATTTGAAACATTATTTTCCTTACAGCAGCAATAAACATTCCATTATATCCTATCATGTTTATTATCTTAATGATAAATATAACAATTATGATTATTATTATTTGTCTGACATCAATTTGATGATGCTTAAACTTTTTCAATGCTCTTTAACTTTGAACTTGTTTTGGCTTTCTGACATATTTGATCTGAGCGTCACTGATGGGTCTTATGTAGACGAATTGCGCATCTGGCGTATTAAATTATAAGCCTGGTACCTTTTGATAGCTATTATTTGTGTGTGTCTCTGTCCTATATGTTCTCCCATTTATTTGTATTGTAGTCCTGTCACGTAATCTTGTCATTTTAATGTTATATCTAACATTGCCATAAAAGCGGGAGTTTTGGCTAGCCACAAAACCAGGTTCAACCCACCATTTTTTCTTAAAATGTCCTGTACCAAGTCAGGAAAATGGCCATTGTTATATTATAGTTCGTTTCTGTGTGTGTTGCATTTAAGTGTTGTGTTTCTGTTGTGTCGTTGTTCTCCTCTTATATTTGATGTGTTTCCCTCAGTTTTAGTTTATAACCCGGATTTGTTTTTTTCTCAATCGATTTATGTGAATTTCGAATAGCGATATACTACTGTTGCCTTTATTTAGAATCTAAAAACTATGTTTTTTTTTTATTATTTTGTGCACTTTGTGATATTTTTATCAACTAACTTGAAGAAAATACACAGAAAGATATTAATATATTTAACAGCACAGTGAATGATAAGATGAATGCTGAGAGTATAGATTTACATTATAAAGCCAAAGTTTATAGACACAAACCGAGGTATTTATACATACTAATCCTTTACACTTAAAATACACTGGAATTAATTGCAATTTATGATATCAAAGAAACATATAACATCGACAGAGAGCCACACAATCTAAAACGATAGAAAGGACAACATGAATGATAACTTACGGAATTACCAAATAAAAGGCCAAAATATTCAAATAAAAATCGAAGATGTGATCAAATAAATGTTCTTTCAGTAAAACTGACGAAAGTATTCGAACTTCAACCAAACTCCATCCTGTTGTATGCGATAAAAAAAAACACAACAAGACACTCCTACTATTATACAATCACGTACAATGGAAACAAGAAAGAGTAAAGATATATGTGTATGTACAAGCTTGTCAAAAGGACATTCAGTTTTAATAGTTTTTTACCTCACCTGGCCCAAAGGGCCAAGTGAGCTTTTCTCATCACTTGGCGTCCGTCGTCCGTCGTCGTCCGTCGTCGTCCGTCGTCCGTTAACTTTTACAAAAATCTTCTCCTCTGAAACTACTAGGCCAAATTTAACCAAACTTGGCCACAATCATCATTGGGGTATCTAGTTAAAAAATGTGTCCGGTGACCCGGCCAACTAACCAAGATGGCCGCCATGGCTAAAAATAGAACATAGGGGTAAAATGTAGATTTTGGTTTATATCTCTGAAACCAAAGCATTTAGAGCAAATCTGATAGGGTAAAATTGTTTATCAGGTCAAGATCTATCTGCCCTGATATTTTCAGATGAATCGGACAACCCGTTGTTGTGTTGCTGTCCCTGAATTGATAATTTTAAGCAAATTTTGCCGTTTTTGGTTATTATCTTGAATATTATTATAGATAGAGATAAACTGTAAACAGCAATAATGTTCAGCAAAGTAAGATCTACAAAAAAGTCAACTTGACCAAAATGGTCAGTTGACTCTTAGGGAGTTATTGCCCTTTATAGTAAATTTTTAACCATTTTTCGTAAATTTTTGTAATCTTTTACAAAAATCTTCTCCTCTGAAACTACTAAGTCAAATTTAACCAAACTTGTCCACAATCATCATTAGGGTATCTAGTTTAAAAAATGTGTCCGATGATTCAGCCCGCGAACTAAGATGGCTGACATGGCTCAAAAAAAGGACATAGGGTAAAATGCAGTTTTTGGCTCATATCTCTGAAACCAAAGCATTTAGAGTAAATCTGACGAGTTTAAAATTGTTCATTAGGTCAAGATCTATCTGCCCTGAAATTTTCAGACCAATCAGGCAACACGTTGTTGGGTTGCTGCCCCTGAATTGATAATTTTAAGAACATTTTGCAGCTTTTGGTTATTATCTTGAATATTATTATAGATAGAGATAAACTGTAAACAGCAATAATGTACAGCAAAGTAAGATCTACAAATAAGTCAACATGACCAAAATTGTCAATTGACCCCTTAAGGAGTTATTGCCCTTTATAGTCAATTTTTTACAATTTTCATAAATTTAGTAAATTTTTGTAAATTTTTACAAAATATTTTCCACTCTAACTTCTAGGCCAAATTCATTATAGATAGAGATAATTGTAAGCAGCAAGAATGTTCAGTAAAGTAAGATCTACAAACACATTACCATCATCAAAACACAATTTTATCATGAATCCATCTGTGTCCTTTGTTTAATATGCACATAGACCAAGGTGAGCGACACAGGCTCTTTAGAGCCTCTAGTTTTTAGAAACCAGCCACCCGTTTAATAAAAATTTTCTGGTGTTAAATTGACATACAACTTTATTTTCAAGTACACATTGTGAACGAATAAGTAAATACATTGTTTATGCCCCACTTAGGAGCATTATGTTTTTCAGTCTTTGCGTCCTTTCGTCCGTCTGTCCAGCTTCAGATTAAAGTTTTTGGTCAAGGTAGTTTTTGATGAAGTTGAAGTCCAATCAACTTGACATGTAGTACACATGTTTCCTATGATTTTATCTTTCTAATTTTAATGCCAAATTACAGTTTTGACCCCAATTTCACGGTCCACTGAACATAAAAAATGATAGCGCGAGTGGGGTATCCGTGTACTATGGACACATTCTTGTTTACTTTTTGAATGTTTACCATGTTTACTAATTTCTAGTATGAAATATGGACAATATGAAACAGCTGTCACACCAAAGGATAAGAGTGGACTTTTTGATCATTCAACAACATTTGGTGTTTGGATCGATGAAGTAAAAAGAAGATCGGTATGAATACATTTTGGTATTATATTTTTATACAATATGTAGTATTTTGTACCTATGATTATATAATTATTTTACAATACTCTCACAGCTGAAATGCAAAACCGAAAAGATATACCCAATATGCACATGATGCATGCAATTATTTAGAATTAAAATCAATTTGGATTTATGTTTTAAAACAATGTGTTTTAAAATGGATGTCTATGTAGTTTGAACGTTTATATTCCATCAAAATATTTATCCATACCGCATTGTTATAATACTTTTATTTTCGATGATACATGTAAATGTGGATTTACCAATGTGAATATTAAAGCTTAAACAAAGAATGACAGAAAGTAAACATTTCAATTATTATCGGCTCCATATGGTTACTTTTGTCGTTTTTATCGTTTGTATTCAACTGCGTTTGGTATTGTTATGGGGGTCTTTTGTTCAAAGAAATTAACATCAAATGTTGAACCACGAAAGATACAAACGAAATCTGTCTCGCCGTTTTTATATGCTCATAATTACTTTTAAAGAATAGCAGAGATGTGTTCATCCTGGATGTCGAAAATCTTACAGAGAAAGTATTAAGTGATGTGATAAAAAATGGACTTCTCAACAAAATGCAGCAACTGTCGATTCGGATAAATTACTCAGATGATCAAACTGGCATCAAATACCTGTCAGCACTAAAACATTTGAGAAGACTATTTCAAGCAGGATTTAGGATATATTGGACAAAGCCAGAATGGTCATGCATTCTTCAGAACCAAAAAAGAACAAGATGTGTATATTTAGATATGGTACGTTGACAATTTAAATTTACATTCTGCATTTATTTTGTATATCCATATAAAGATTAAATATTCGCTCAAACATTCAAGATTCTAAATTTAATTCATAGCGTTCTTGTAGCCTCGCCTCTAAATTTTCGGAATACATATATTTTGTGTTAAAATGCAGTTTAATGTCATTAAATGTATTTGAATATGTTTTATTTTATTCAATTGATTCCAAACTTTAAACGATATATCTAGCGGTTGTCGTTGTTTGTTTTGTGCAATATGTTTTTCATTTTTTGTTGTAGTATTTATCAGACTGTTAACGTTGATTCTATATTTGGAAATTGCTGACACTTTGTTAATCTGATACCTTTCTGACATTTCCTATGGGTTTTTGCTCATTGTTGAAGACAGTACGGTGACTTGTAATTGTTAACAACTTTGTGTTCGGGTCGTTGATGAATACCAATCTTATTGACAATGATATATTACTTGCTTAATTGTTATATTTAAGAATAGTGTCAACTATTTCCAAAAATAACATCTACTTTGAAAACGATAAATGCATATTAAATTCTCATTTCTAGTTTCACACTTCTGTATTTTAGTGTATTCAAATATCGGAAGAAATTGGTAAGATACCTATCTTCTAAAATATGTTAGCTTCAACTCGGTCACAGCACACCTAAAGATTTGCCTTTTTTACGACATGAATGGTAATTCGCAGAAGAATTGATTTTCATATGTTAAAAGCTACCTTGATTAATGTTGACAACTATCTAAAATGCATAGAAATTGGTCATAAAAAAGCGTGAGATGGTTTTTTTTTACACAATTAGTTAACTAAATATTTCGCTTTTGTTAGAAAACAACCTTTCTTTGATGAATTCCTCCCGTCGCACGGCTTTCTATAATACACTATGCTAAGTATTGAAAGTCATGTGGCGACCTAAAACTTAAATTTACGTCATTATGGTCTCTGGTGGATACTACCATATTCAATACTAATAATGCTATGCAGGTTTAGGCATCATTTTTGATTCAAAATGAAGTTCAACTAAAAGCACGGATTTGTCCATGAGGGCAAACGTTTTGGAACTCATTCGACGATTGATAAAAGTCTGTTACATTCAGTTTTGAGTTAAAGTTCTTATTTGAAAACCATTAAACGACGTGCTGTATGTCATATATATCTGAATTTATAATTCATGTTGTACACATTGAGCTGTAGATTTTGGGTGCTTCATTGTATAATATGAATTTACCTATCGATCGATCGAGAGAGAGATAATATGAGATTGTGTCCATTCAGGGTGTTAGTTGTTATATGTTTCAAATTTTCAATTTGTTTTTCGCTACTTAAGGGTTGTTTGTGATGAAGTATAAGATGTATGTTCAATTTTTGTTGATGTATTTTTTTCTAGATTTACCATATGTGTAAAGACCTGGAGAATCCAGAAGGGAGATCAATTGGTATAGACGAGATTACCACATTGGTAGGTAAGATATAAATAAAAGGATATACTACGGTGTACATGGACTAACAATTATCTTACCTCCTCTACATTTCTAGGAATAGCATTGGTTAAAAATCACTGCGTGGAGACCCTGTATATTTCATATGGGGTTAGTAGGCGTTGTTTATTTTCAGGATGTATTCTTTTCATGTTTCAGTCTCGTTGAAATCTCGTTCGGGAATTATTTCCAAAACATGTGATACAAGTGGAAAATACCAATGATTTTTAAAAATGTTATAATCAAACTAAACTATGTGAAACAATTGAGTACTTATAGTAGTTTTTGAGTAATACAATTTTCATTTTTTGTAAGCAATCCGGTCAGTGTCGTCAGCCAAAATGTTGAGAAAATGGGTGATGTGTACAAAGAAATGATTTTTCCAAAATATGTACATCCCATATCAATTTTTTCTTTTCAAAATTCTTAGATATGTATTTTTATAACATTCATAACAAAAAAAGTTGATATAATATGCTTTTTGTTCTTAAAAAAAGAGAAAAATCCCACATTTACAAAATTTACAGCATGGTCAATTTGACGCGAAAAAGCAACAAAATTTTATAAAACTTTCTTAAATTAACACCTACCTATAGTTTTTTAAAGTTAAATTTATTCAGATTGGTCCACTTCATCTTTAGTGAAAGTATGAAAAAAACTGTGATTTTTTTCATGATATTAGTCCAACAATGGATAACAATTGATGAAAATGGGAAGATCATCAAAATGGGGTACTTCCCAATGGCCGTAGCTTTTATACGTTCTTTATAAAAAAAAAAGAAAAAAAAAAACAACATTGAAGAAAAAAGTGAAACGATTCGCTTGTACAACAGACGAAGAAATTTATGATGGACGATTGAAATAAATGCAGAGAACACATTAAAAGCTAACAAGTTGTTATTGTTGTTGCTTCGCTTTGACCCTATATGGAATGTACTGACCCAAAGATATCGTATTAGGTCACTAGCAAACAGTGTAACTAATAATATACTACCATTAATATATTGAGATTTAAATACTGGAAATCTCCAAAACCTGACAGATACTTTTTTAAGGAGATGGGGAACTGATAGTTATTTCCTTTCAGGGTCTGTCTGGGCTTGTACGGGTCGGTAATTACGTGAGATGTTCCTGGTAGTGTCGTAGTCTTGCGATATTGCTGATTTTTTTCTATTTAAGTACTGTGCTTACAATTATCGGGCCAATGAACAATGCAATAATTAAGGGAAAACCAAAATAAATTGCTGCTCGATATACATCACGTTTTAAATATCTTCATCAATTTTGAAACAGACTTATTGCTTAGAATTTGTGACCGGTTTTGGCATCTCACTAGTAGTTTATATTTTCAAAGAGCAAGACAAATTTACAAGTATAAGTATGAACCAATGCATTGTAAGTGTCACGGTTTATTTACCATGATTTGTCTATGATAAACAAAACAAGACTTACCTTTAACCACACATTTTTTTTTTGGCAACTGCAATCAAATTTGAAAACCTTAATACACCCAAAACTCTGTACTTTATTTAGCCTTTTTAACTTTTTTGATTCGAGCGTCCCTGATGAGTCTTTTGTAAACGAAAAAAGTAAAATAACAAAAAAACCGAACTCCAAGGAAGTCCTTTATCAAATGGGAAAATTATTAGCTCAAACACATCAAACGACTGGAAAACAACTGTCATATTCCTAACTTTGAACAGTCAGAAAATGGTGGTTTAAACGAAAGGCGGGTCTGGCGTACAAAATGTTTATTCTGGTATCTATGTGAGTTTATTTACGTGTTGATGTAAAAATTGTTGAATGCAACTACGTGTTGATATAAAATTTGTTGAAATCCTATCACAAAAAGCCTTCTTTCGTAATTTGTATTTTTTCATACAAAAAATAAGTTATAAACTAAGCTTAATACACCTTAAACTTCGTACTTGTGGCTTTTTAAAATTTGTTGATTCGAGCGACACTTTTGTAGACGAAACGCGCGTCTGGCGTACAGTATAATATGTGTATCTTTACATCTATGTTGAGTTTATATACGTGTAGATATAAAATTTTTTGAAATCCTATCACAAAAAGCCATTTTTCATAATTTGTGTTTTTAATACAAAACCTAAGTTATAATCTCCTTCATGAAAAGCTCTGATTTCTTGTCCGGATTTAGCTATACTTTTGATCCTATTTGTTGTGATCAGCTCTTCTTACCTGTATAATAGGTTTTGGATTTTCAAATATTTCGGGTTCGAGCATCATTGCAGGGACATTAATTGTCGAAATGCGCATGTGGTGCATAACAAAGGAATCTTTAATATCGTTAATGTTATTACAATCACTGGGTCGATACCTTTGCTGGTGACCTGTTAGTTCACGTTGTTATCAACAGCCCAATAGCCAGTACTTTGGTAGAAGAATGAAAATACGGATAAATGTTAGATTTAAATTTGCTGGGTATATTTATGACTTCATGAGTACGACATTAGGGTCAAAATTTGCAATTTACATTTTTTTGAAGGAATAATTCGTCATACATATAAAAGAATTGTCCTTCTATCGTCTGTTTTCGTCTTTTTCGTCTTTTTCCCATCTGTTTACATTTATCTACCATTTAAAAATAAATATCGTAAATTTTTGAATACAAGGTTTTTCTTCTAGAATTAAGATTTTTTCAAACTGACCATTTATCATCTGTGTGTTAATAGGCGAATAAATAATAGAACTTTCATCTTTATATTTATTTCCTGTAAATGCCGAGTTTTTTCTATGTGTTTATCTCTGTGAAAATTGCGGAGATATAGGTAGGTATCATTAAAATAGAATCTCGCATACATTTTTGTATGATTATCTTTATGCACCGTTTACTGAAATCACAATAATTGATCTCAATTTCCGTCACTCTAAAACCCATATTTCAACCTGATGAAGTTAAATCTATAAAAGCGCTTCGGACGCATGAAACTTATAATGTGTTCTCTCCATTTGTTAACAGTGTTTAGATCTCATATATCACAGTGAACATGAAATGAAGGATACTACCGAAAGTAGAAAGTCTCTTTCGTATCTTGATATTTTACTCGATATTGACACAGATGAGGTAACTAGAATCAATGACAAACGTGATTATTTCAACTTTTCGTTTGCCGACCTCCCATATCTCAGCAGTAAGTAAGATGCCCTCATCTACGTCGTATCGTGTTTACATATATTAGTTACACGTAACACTTGTGCATGATCACACTATACGGTCTTCATTAACAGGGGTGTGTTCCTTACACAAATACCGCCCTAACAGTGTTATGGGGAAAAACCACTGAAATGGACACCATCATGCATAGTTGGACTGATACGATGTGTTTGTGCCTCAACTTACTAGTGACATGTTTTCACGGTTTTAGATCTTTAAATACCAGAATAATCGTTTGATCTGTATTTTTTCCCGATGAGTGAAAATTTGCATAGCTAGTGATGTAAACATAGCAGGAGACGATTACTTGTTCTAGGCCACCGGTCTTGCTAATTTTGGAGTTCCTTCGGTTTTGGTATGTTGCCATGATCTCTTCGTAATCGATGTATGAAATTTGAACATTAGTTAACGTCTGTCTTTTTAATTCTGTCGGTTGTTAAAAAAGAAATACGCACAAAAGTTTTCTAATTTCAGAACCCTTTTTCATTGAACATTAATAAACACATTTTCCTCAAAAGTTGTATAAAATACAGTTAATTTTTAAACTGAAATGGGTGTCTCATTATGTATAATTATTTCATTAATAATTGTATTTTAGATTGTATAGTCAATTTTCAGTTTTATACTTCTATTAGACAGATAATACTCATTTTGTCATTCCTGATGATAGCAAACTTAGAACCTTCAGCAAAACGGAAATAAATGGTCTATATATAAGGTATGTTATGTATAATCAATTCAGTTATTTTTACTTATATTATATATTTAGTATGGAGAGTTTTTCTTACAAAAATAGATTTGAAACAAATTTCAAATTGATTGTACAATTTTTATGTCAAATGAGAACATTTATTAACGAAACGCAGGTCTTGCCTTCTGTTATCTATGATATTTTAAAGTGAGATCAGTTTTGCTTTTAAAGGTTTGGTCAAAATCTATAAAATGACAGCAAACTTTCGAGAATATAGTACCAGTTATAGTTGAATATGTACAACAAAAATAGGTATCAATCAAAATGGAATATGTAGCAATAGGGGATGTGATATCAATCAACTAGAGTTCACATAACGTGGATGTAATCAATTATAGGTCTTCAACAATAAGAAAAATCCTTACCGTATCGTCAGCTAAAATTACCCAAACATGAATAAGAGAGGCAAAAGATACCAAAGGTATGTTGAAATTCATAAGTTGAAAACAAGGTGACAATGTCAGAATGTCATGGTAAAAGACCAAAAATGACTAAAAGACAAACAATATACACAACATAACATAGCAAACTAAAGACTGAGCAACACAAACCCCACTAAACATCGGTGTGATCTTAGTTGCACAGGAATGGTTAGCAGAAAAATGGTGAAACAATTCAAATAAGAAAACTAAGGGCTAATTCCTAACAAATCATTTAACGAAAAACAAATATGACAGAACAACAGCCACCACTATATTACAGGCTCCTGACTTTCAAAAAGAATGTAACGGGGTTAAATATGTATGTCGACACACCAGGTCTCGCCGTTTTAAAGTTCATAAAATTCCCTCACTTTTCGTGTGTTAGCTTTATTTGCCTTCTAAGTCGATTTATGAGATTTGGGCATCAGTAAACTACTGTTGCCATAATTTAAGATATGACTTGTGATAAATTATAATGTTCGATGAAGCACCTTTATCGTTAGCGTTAACGTTTAAAATGTTGTTCTCAATATAAAGATCAATTTTAAATCAATTATATCTCCGGAGAAACACATACAGAATATACTGTCATAACAATCGCACATTATATATAGTGAGCATTATTACAAAACTGAAGGCATTATAATTGATTCCAGTAGTGATTGCTTTTAATTTTTATATAAAGTTTAACGTTAACGCAAATTGCAACACATTAATATCACAGTTTAGGGAAACCAAAGCTGACAGAGTATTTTTTTGTTCTGTAAATACTAACTGTAAAAATTTCCCATTGTAATAGTTTAGAAAACAATTTTACCCTTCCACTAAATTATAAGTGCTATGGATAAGACATTTCTTCTAAATCATCATTGTAGATATCTGACATCAATACAAATAGATTGCAAGGAAGTATTAAGATTAGGTTTAATTAGTGACGGAGGATGGAACGTATGTCATGACAAACAATACAGGCCATCCTACCCTTGTTTGGTGTATTCATTTGGGTAAGTATTTACACTTTGTAAAAATCTTTTCAAACCGTGATAGGAAAAGCATGATAACATTTGGTTTGCAAGCATTATGGAAATTTAAAGAATCTGAATTGCAAACTGTTGGAGGAATGGATTACAGAATATTTCTATTTGAGATTTTTAATCAGTTGTGTTTTATGTTTGTGATGTATGTTTACACAGTTTTGGTTGCTAGATTCCAATAATTGTCACATTAAAATGTTATGTCTGTTTAGGTTGCTCACTCAATTTTTTCAATATAACAGATTTATAAACAACTGTCATGCAAGTTGGATGTTTAGCTAGCTGTTTGCACCAGGTAAGGAATACGGTACTTGTTTTTCACTTGTTCCGCTGATTGATAACGTTTGATTTTGTCACTTTTTATGGATTTCCCGTTTTTAATTTACCTTGCAGTTCGGTATTTTTGTTTTGGGTTGTTACACAGATTCACCAATTTGGTAAACGAATACTTCGTTCTTGGGAAAATTGGAAAACAACCTAAAACAATATTATAAATTCAAATTAATGTGCAATGCTTCTTGAATATCAATTGAAAATTAAAGAGAAATGATTTCACCGAATTGGTACCAGCTTTTCCAGTTTGTCAGCCCAGTATGCTATAAGAAAGGCACACAAATGATAAAGATGCAATACAATATCAAGTGAACATTTGTCAATACAAATAATTAAAAGGTTAAGTTTGTATGATATCTACATATACATAGTAGTAACGGAATATATAATATTGACCTTGTGTATAGTTAACAATATGACTTGAATTTACAATTTTTATATATGTTCCGGATCATATGAGTATTTGGACCGTACGCGTATGGCATGACCACATGGCGTTTAGATTAGATACTCTTTAATTTTTTCTACTTTTCACTTATTTTCGTTTAACTGATGTGTTCATACTCTTATTCATACGATCTTACAATAAAAGTGGTTTCTACATACGAATAGAGGGGAAGCATGTATTAACTATTGTAAGAAATTTTAATTTACAAAAATACAAACATCAAAATAAAGAAAAGAAAAAGGGTTCAATGCTCCAATTGCTTATGTGTAAAACAGTTTACCTCTTGCTTAACAGTTCATTTAGTTATTTTCGGAGTCGACATATAGTGTTTCGTAAAGACAAATTAATCATGACCATGCAAAAATGCTATAATTTTAACTTGTCAGCAAGATTCATTTTATTTCATTCATCACGTTACAATAATTACCAAATTATTACCAAATTTTCATTTGTAGAATCTATTAATGTATGACACCTTGAAGGCCTGGATATGCCTTACGCAACGTTTAACGTGCATCGTATTAAATACCCAGACCATACGCGTATTGTCCAAATACTTATATGGTCCTGAACATATACATTGAATCCTTTAAAAAAGACACCGAATAGTAACTAGAGTCTTCCGTTGATATTAAACAAATAATTCCAATGAAACAATCGTATAACTGTATAATATTAATTTGTTTTTTCTAGCATATACTGGGACTTTAGTTTTGATGAGGCCGTGGCAGAAACGTATGGCTGTGAAATTCACTCCTTTGATCCAAGGTATAAGTATTCAATACTTCTAATGCGTGTTGCCCTCCAAGTCTTAATGAATTGCTTGATATTCGGGAATTTACAATTTATGAAAATAAGAAGATGTGGTATGATTGCCATAAGAGACCAAAAGACAAAGAAAGTTCTTAAAATAGCGTAAGGAAATTAATAATGATGATTATTGTTACACTGGTGTGAACAAATTTATCAAAAACAAAGAAAATATACGAAAGATGAATTGTAGTGACATGTATATAATACGTTGTCCCGACTAGGTATACAAGCATTAGTAATTTAAATTAATGGATTAAATCTGGTTCCATGCCTAATCCCATAACTGGCCATACGGTTATGGGTTGTACTTATTGTTGAAGGCCGTACGTAGATACTGGTATATAGTTGGTGAAATCCCCCACAGTTGGACTCTGTTGGATAGTTGTTTCATTGTCAATCATATCACATGTCCTGTTTTAATTATACGTTATGATCAGAATAGAATAGTGACATGTGCATAATAACAATTCCTAACGAAGTGGTACAATGAAATAAAAATGAAAGGTTTTGATAAGCGTTTGGTGCATTGTTTGATTGATTGGACACAGTTACCTTTTTACCGGCAACAAAATCTTGTAAATAATGTTTTGTATGCTACATAGTTTAAAATTCAATATAATATGTGTCTATTTATAGTATGAACACTTCAGATTTTAAGCGTGGAGATTTCATTTGGTTTCACAAGATTGGCCTGTCTGATCAATCAGGAATATATGGAAAAAATAAATGGAAGATATTGACTTTACAAGATATCCTTACAGAACTGAATCATACCTCGGTAAGATTTATTATTGTTTTCAATGTAAAATAAACATAGTCAAAATAGCAATTAATAGTTAGTTTACTACATTATCCAATAATTTGATTTTATATCATCAAAATGTTATTTCTTTGTTTTTCTTTGAATACTTAATAAGAGTTGCTTCATGCCAATGAGAAAAGCAGTAAATGAATCAATGATTATGTCATCAGCTCAACGTCACAGCGAGGCTTCCAATATGCATTCATTCATCGCTGAAATGCGCATCTTGTGTATTACAGTTAGTAACATTATTGTCCATTCAACATGATGCAAACATTCTCAACTCGTTGCAAGTTGACGACGGCCCCTTGCACCTGTTCGAGCGGAGGTCTTTGCCTAATATGTAGATCATGTTTTAGCGCTGTTGATCAAATGATGCTTATATATATTTTTTTGTTTTATTCGTGAGAGTTAACATTACGCTTAGGTCTATGAATGTTGTATGCTGAATTTTTTTTTTTTGTAGAGAACATTGGATATTTTAAAAATGGATATAGAGTTTATGGAATGGCAATCTCTACTAAATATGATAAAAACTGGTGCACTAAGAAATATAAGACAACTGTATGTAGAATTCCATGGATCTACTGCATCATTACAAAATCTCCAAACATTAAGAAGTATATATAATGAAGGATATAGAATTTATTGGTATCACAGAAATCCCGCAAAGACCAATATAAGGAAATGGAAATTTGTAGAAAACACTAGTTGTTATGAAATATATTTTCTTAAAATATGACGACAGCATGATTTTCTACAATAAAAAGAAACAAATATGTAGCTTTTTCTTATTCTTTTTTATGACTGTTATCATACTTACCGGTGTTTCCAACGACGGAAGCGGTCTAATAATCATATGATCTTAAGTCCATCCGTTTGTCCGAAAGACATTGTGTAGAAAGCTTTTCTGGACTTCAATGAAAGGGAATAATTTTATATATGGTCTGAGCTGCAGTTTGACAATATTGAGTTGTCTCTGCCTCAATGATTTAAGAGAATGATCAGTTCTGCTTCAGTATACATGTTACTTAAATCATTTGCATGAAGCGGTGTAGGTCTAGACACGGTTTTAGTTTTATTTTGTTATTTTTTTGATCTGTTAAAAACTGTACAAATTATTAAATTGACTTTATCATGTCAACTTGTGAAAATACTTCACTGTATGATCAGTAATTTTAAATTTCTTATGTTGAATTATCTGCATTCTACAAAGGACTAATAGGCATATTATGTTTTTTATTTTTATCATTTCAAACTAAACAATTATCTTTTCCAAGTTGCAATTTGTCAGTTCGAAGTTATAATTTCTTAATTCCAAGTTGTAATGTCATGGTATGGTAAAAACACATACAGAATATGGCGACGGTAAAAATGTATGCGGGCGTCAAAATCTCTTCCTAACAAGGGATAGTGGTCACAGCACATCGTAAGAACAAACTATAAAATTCAATTGAAAAAAAGCTAGACTCATCAGAAAGAAATTAAAAACAAAAAAAAAAAAGCTAAAAAAAATTCGTATGACACAAAGTATGACACAAAGTACCAATCCAGCAGTACTCGCAGTTACTGAAAGCTAGTAAATATAAAAGCCAATAACAACTAATACAACAATTATAGGTCCAGGGCTATAGTTTTAGTTAGTCAATTAATCCAAACGATTAAGGAAAAAACATCATGAACAGGCAGAGAAAAAAAATGATCTATTGCAATGTAAAAAAATGTATCGACACAATGTAGGACCGTCAATGTTCATATCTTAGCCTGTATAACAATAATATTTAGTTATGTTTTAATTTATTGATAACAAAATCAATGTATGTACCGATAACAACAGTATTCAAAAATCTTATTACAGTGTTAAATTGATAATCTTTTAGAATAAATTCATTCAAAGATCGATAAGTTTATATGGATCATATTTAAGTTTACGGGTTCTATTAACAACATTATCGTAAACATTAGGATGTGATATCCAGTTTGTAATTCGCTTTTTACAGGTACAACCAAATTTCTAAACAAAATTTTGGTATCTATTTAAGAATTTAGAAAAGGTTTTAAGTAATATGTGGTAACGAAATCCCTGACTTAATAATTTACAGGTAATACATGGATTACGTTTATTGAAATCTGTAAGTTGACGTTTCTCTGTTCCAACCTGACATTTCTCAGTTTTAAGTTTAATTCTCAGCTCCAACTTGATATTTCTCCTTCCAAGTTGGAAGACTTTATCAATTCTAAGAAATTGATATAATTAGCCAGAGTTTCAGGTAGATGTGAAAAAATAAATGTACATCATTAATTAGCTGAATCAAAACGAAAAGGCCTTGAATGCGAAGAAACTAGCTCTCTACAGATCTTTTCGATTTAAACTATAATGCCTCGGAATATGGAAAATATCCCCAAGAATAAATGGGATAGTAAGATAAAAGAGAGAAGAGAGGAGGCTTATTTGGACGTATGAGAAAATATAAAAGGGAATATACTAAAACAAGAGAAGTATCATGATCAGTAGTTATTGTTGGGTGATTTTAAACAATGGAATACAATATTTATCCCAATGTAAAATCGGACACAACTTCAAAATGATGCAGTCTTTGAAGAGGAGAGTGTAAGATTCTATAACAGTGTTAGATGTTATCTATATTTAGTATAAATGTGGGCAACAAAAACGTCCACAAATGATACATGTTATGTTTACGTAAGTGATCATCACAAGTTAAACGGGTTTAACACATGAACATATTACATGTTATATACCGTTGGTGTACACTTATAAAATTTAGCAAGTAAAACCTTCGACAATGGAAATAACATGGGAGACAGCATGTATGTCAAGGTATTTTGCCTTATATCTTGACATACATCTAGAAATTGACAATGAGGGTCGTTTGAAAACAAAAGAGATGATTTCAGCTTCCCAATTGTGAACTATCTATTTTTATGTAGCAATATTCCAGCAGCGCCTGCATACGGAGTATATATGTCCTAGTTGATTCGATATTCCAAGGCTTGTTTTTCCTATCAGAATTTCCTTGATAGAGGGTTACTGCTGACTAGGAAGCTATTTAACCAAGAGTTCCAATTGCAAGTGGTGAAGTTGAAATCATCTCTTCGTAAATTTTACGGACGTCATCGCGAGTTGGTTGACCGTTATGGAATATCCGTTTCAAAGATAACAACGGATATGTTCCAATTGTCGTATTTACAATCCCGTCCCCTTGTCCCCGAATGTGACCTACCAAGTTAGACTTATTACCGGGTTTGTACTAATATGAGCAACACGACGGGTGGCACATGTGGGATACGATATGCTTATCCTTCCGGAGCACCTGATATAACCCCCAGTTTTTGGTGGGGTTCGTGTTGCCCAGTCTTTAGTTTTCTATGTTTTGTTTTGTGTACTGTTGTTTGTCTATTTGTCTTTTCTTTTTTTAGCCATGGTGTTGTCAGTCTATTTTCTACCTTTGACTCTATGAGTTTGAATATCCCTTTGGTATATTTCGCCTCTCTTATACAAAAGATGTAGATGAACTATCAGACAAAAAGGGTCATGATGTGAAAACAAAACTTGATTGATAAGTTTTCAGACCATGTAACACATTCGGTAACAGCGAGGCCTAGGCGGAATTCTGAATGGATGAACGATTATGTGAAATACGTGTCTACGAGAGATAATAAGAACATGATGCGAAATACCTGATTCAGAAAAGATTATGTAGAACAGACGTTCAGAATTAGAATATTTGTTTTATATAAAATTATTCAAATGCATTATACTTTCAGAAAGAAAGAAAGAAGGTAAAAAAATATATATACATTTAGATAAAATATGTACATTATACACTCAAACCTGCTATAAACGTCACCTATAGTTAGCTAAAATATATATTGGCAGGTCACCCACTGCTTTTCCTGGGAGAAAAACTTATGCATTTTGACAAAAGTCTCCTCTCGTATAAGGTCAGTTTTTTCTCTGGTTCCGAAGGTTGCCCTTATATACAGATTTAACTACTATTAATATGTTTTTTTTAAATATTTCATGTTGTTTCCATTCGTTTGATGTGTTTGAGCTTTTGATTTTGCCATACGATAAGGGACTTTCCGTTTTGAATTTTCCTTGGAGTTCGGTATTTTTGTTGCTTTACTTTTTAATTGATATGGACTGTTAGGCTGGTGCATATGGCATATCGCGCTTTATAGACATCAAAGATCCATTGGTAGCATAAATGTCTGTTAGCACCGTATTCGCTAATATCATGCTTCCTATATATTTATTTAATACAGGTCCTTTGATTGGATGTGTGTATTTAGAATGGGAGTTAAATAGATGTTCCTATTTTTGTATCGTTTGGTCACTGTTTCTCAGACAGTAAACACCTGAGTAGTACTAAGCAAATAGTTGAACGATATTTTAACATTAAATCCTCGTTTATTGGGCAGTGAACGTGTCACTAATTTGGTGAAGAGGCATAATCTTCAATGATTTTTTTTTCAACTGACAAGGTAAATGCGTAAAAGATTATTCCTCTGAAGGCAGTGCACCTAAGGGACCAGATTTGTTTATTTATACCGAACTAACAGTAGAAGGGCCATTCGAACAATTGAAATATATGTTTAAGAACCTGTCTTACTGCAGTAAATTACTAACAAATTGTCAAAACATTTACGTATGAGAATTATTTTGTGCCTTAAAATGCATCATATGTACAACAAAATTTTTTAAGGAGAACTCTTTCTGTAAAATAGTGATGGCCCTGAAAATGATCGCTTGGTAAAGCTATCATCGGCACCAGATGGATTTCAAATACTGTATTCTTCGTCACTCAACGGACTTCTAACCCTGCCATTTTGTTTACATACGTCAAAGACGTCATTTTAATGGGAGATCATAACTCGTTTAAAAATTGAGAGGCTCATGGATGATATTTACCGTTGACTAAAAGGGTAATGTATCGCACATTATTAAAATTTTAGAGTTATTATCCTTCCTTGCATTTAAATGAAAGTTTACCCAATTAGTTCATATTGACCCTGTATGAGTTTTCCTACGGTCAGTTTTTGTTTGTTATTGTAAGTCATTGGTAAGTAAAGTGTCATAAAATGGGAGTTATGTTATGTTATGTTAATATAAGTGTTTATATTAATCCTGTATTATGTACTCGTACAGTCGTACTGGGTTTCGATCAGCTGTATTGGACCTCGTCTACGCCTCCAGCTAATATAGCTATCCTCGACCCAATACGATGGCACTTTAACATAACACATGAGTGATATGAATACACCAATTCAATAACGCTATATAATTGCAAAAGTAACAATAGTTTGAGAAAATTTTATTTCATTTCAGTGAATAACGTTAAGACCTACGAACTGATAATAACTTAACCACATGCCTGAAGAAAATACCTCTCTTCAATCGAAAATGATATATTATTTTTTTCTTAAAGTATTTAAAAATACAATTTTGTGTTTTTAAATCTTGAATCCCTAATATGTCATTAATCTACATTTTTCTTTTCATATTTGGAGAGTGCATATTAATTCTGACTTTGTGTCAACGTGGGATGATGGCAGTATAATCTATAGATATCGTTAATATCGAACTCTTATTTTTAATTTTTGTTTAAACCCAACTCAGTGATTAGTTACTAAGTTAAACAAGTAATTTATTTTACCTAGAATGACTAGGGATAACTTTATCGTAATGTCAATATGTATTAGATACAATACAAAGGTAACAAAGAAACTGGCCGGTAACAAACGTTGTCGGATAG